GATACATGCTAGATATTTCGCACTATGGCTGGGTGGCGTCCGCAGGCTGGGCTGGGGTTGATATCGACGAATTTCCTTCCCTCAAGGCCTGGGAAGAGCGCATGACATCCCGACCCGGTATTGAAAAGGGTCGTCATGTCCCGGACCCTCACACGATCAAAGAGCTCCTCGCAGACAAGAACAAGATGGAGGAGTACGCTGCCAAGAGCCGCAAATGGATCCAGGGCGGCATGAAGCAGGATGCTGAGAAGCAAAAGTAAGTTATTTTTGCATATTCCAAATGACTACAGACGACGTCTCGTCATAGTGAAGGTCCTTGGGCATGAAGGTGCTTCATGTGAGAGAGGAGCGGACAAGCAACCTTGAAACCCTTGATCTGTAGCCAATCGCATCCAAGGATTCTGGGTGCTTGACCAATCGGATCAAGTCAAATTAGAGTCTACCTAGTAGCGCACCACGAACCCGAATCCGAACTTTGTTACAATTGTCCTAGACGGCGCACACTTTCACGCCAACTAACACCCTCAAGTTCCAGACTATAAACAACATTGCGCCACCATCGCATCACTGCAGGTACCATCTACGAAACGCCAAACAAGTCAGGGTAGACCTGCACCATTCCCACTGCTCGTTCTTGAATATGACCCACTTGGAACTTTTACATCTTGGCATTTTCTCGCGTGAGCTCGGGTGAGTTTCAAGACCATTCATCATTTTACTTAGTCACAGAACGACACCATAACTCTAAGCCTAAAAGGTAAAGTCTATGCGGCCTGCCAAGAATGTCAACAAAGTAGGGAATATCCAGGTTTACAAGCTTGGTTGCGTAATACTCAGTCATCAGGGGTGTAACTTAACAAATGATGGATGGAAAGTGGCGGGCTCATCACGGTTGACGGGACATTACACTAGTACAATACTAGTGTCTGTTCGCGAGGTCAGGCCCGTTGATCCCGTATAACACCGCGAACGCTCCGATTGCTGTCAAGTTGCACATTTGTTTGTCTGAAACGTTCGAGAAGGGTGTCCCAAGACTTTGTTGGAGCCCGGGAAACTGCCCGTACGGTGTCGGAGCTGAGGAACGCTTGCTTGCTCGCGATCGCACAGCTGGGTAGCCTAGTGTCAAGCCGGCTGTCCCCAGAGTACGCTACCACCAAGTGCCGATGCAGCTGCACTCAGACACTTGAAAAACAAAAGGACCTAATGGCAGCTTGTGTGCTAACGCTCACCGTCAGTCTGGGCCCAACAGACAGATCTAGTGTCTGTTAATTGCCAGAGGGACCAAGCGTTTGTGACAGTGTCTGCCACGCGCATGGGCTGGTGCCTACCGCTCAGGTGGCTGGCAAGATCCGGACGGCATCGCCTGTTGCCGTGACGGTGGCCATGCGGTGACACCCGCTCGAAACTTGGAAACTCAGCCATGGACTCAGCCATCAAGCGAGGGATCAGAAATTGCCTCAGAAAGAACGCGCGCCTAGGCATGGTTGAATCTTACTCGTCTCAAAGACATCAGAGCTTCCTGTGTGCCGGGAGCATCAGCTCACCCGGCCTATCCGTGAATGGAAGGACATAACCACGGGTACGGAACACGTCGCCTCCCGGTATCATTCCACAGGGGCTCGAAGAAGGATCAGTCGTGTTCCCAGAGCAAGTGCGAGGGCTGCTGACTGGTTTGATGAAGGGCGAACACGCAGTGTTTATCACTTCAGGGGAGCATGTATATCGCCCCGGGTTTGTGCAGAGCACCTGCATCTCACCCATAGTGGTGCCTGCACCTGTATCAGCAGGACGGACTATTTTGAGCCACCAACAGGCGTCGCCCCTTTCATCAGTTATTCCTCCATGCAGCATGCGTCAGACTTGCGTCCCGCAACACCATTAGTCCCTTCCCCAGTCTGATACTCTCCCCGCATTATTGCTCGATCAGCTGCAGGCTGCATGATCGCACGCTGCTCTGCGACGGCGGCAACGACGGTTAGGCTCGCTAGAATGAGCCGGTTAAGCCTCAAGGGTCTGAGGAAGCCTGATGCCCCAGCTGTGAGGTTTCGAGCCGTAGCTGTTATACTACGGCTATTTCGCCTCTGCCATAGCCGACGCGGTAGGCGGCGCCCCCGCAGAGCTGTCACGGATCGATCTCAACGGTGAACATCGCACCTCCTAGAGTATAGTCGAGCGAAGCGGGTCATAAGATTTACAGGGCAGACAAGCATCGTCTTTGCGAAGCGGGTGGACCGTCCGTTCAGCCGACGCTGTCAGTTCCCCAGGTTTGGTGTAGGCCACGTTCCCGGCTTCACTGGTTGGAAAATCTGGGGTACATGACAGAGGCAGGTCCTGCTGCATGCCATAGTACCTAACTAGCGAGTCTGAGCTCCAGCTCATATTGCTCAGGAGTATATAGTCTGGGGATGGTCATAGTGAACTCAACTGCGCTTGATCACGAGTGTCCTGGTGTTGAATCCTTGATCTAGCAGTAAGTACAGTATGCACTGAACACGCCTCCCGCCCATATTGAACAACCTCTGTGTGTGGCTGGAATAATGTCGTTCCATATTACAGGAAAGGAGCAAAAATCCAGCAAATACGTGCGGGGATCCGGTCTGTGAGTGGTGAATAAGCCAGGGCGAGTGAAGCGTCGCAAGCTGGCAACAAGCCTTGAGGCCTCGAACTGTCGAACTGCATGAGCAGACGCAGTCGCCAAACTGCAATCCAAATCCATCTTTTGTGGGGAAACATGGCTTTCAATAGATTATGATCCGGACAATTGCGTTCATGAGTATAATGTGAGTGGGATCCTGCATCAGCTTGACTCTTACAGAGATAGGAAGGCCAAAGCTGTATGGTCACACGTCTCGGGGCTTGACACAAAGAGGATGAGCTTTGGCGCCTGTCTGCAGGCGAGAGGACCCAGAAGGCACAGATTGGTCATCTTGTCGAAGCCAGAGTGAAGGGGTCCTGCCCTTATGCATGTTCATTGTGCGGGCCCTCGCACTGGAACTTGCAGATGTATTGCGGGCCCCCCTCGTGGTCGCAACGCGCAGCCTCTCAGAATGAAGCAATCTTACTGTCTACCTGTAGGGCCGGAGAAGTCAACACTTCAGTGGTGGTGCAGCATCTAGTATTCTGCGAGGCTGCAAGCTAGTTCAACGGCCCGGCAGGCGCTGCCCTCGTCTTGGTGTGGATCAAACTCTCAGTATGTGACGACAAATTTGGACAGAATTATGAAGATCGTTGGCACGGAGCCAGGGAGCAGTGCCATCCCTTTCCATCGGCCAACGGTTTCAGCTGAGGAGAGTTTTGTTCAACGGATGGCGCCCACGTGGGTCTGAAGACCCAGCTGCAAGATTCTGACGAACTGGTCAAGACACCCGAGGAGGCTTCCAAGTTTGAGTCTTCGAGAACTTGCCGTGTAGCGCGTACCTGAGATAAGCGCAGGATGCCTGGATAGTCTCCGTTCGATGAAGTTATAAGCGGATCCAATGTTGGACTTTTGGTTCCAGATCTATTACGGCCAGTTCGTTAGTCGTTGGACCGTTCACGTTGTTGGTGTGCTGGCAGAAGGATTATACGGCCAGTTCGCGGTGTTCCGCATATAGACGAAAAACGGTGACGTTGGGCCGACCACATATCGGAGGTGGGTTTGCAGGCACTACAACGTCGCTTAGAGGCCCTAGGACTGCTCGGCTTCTCCTGCATGGCGGGGACCGCGAAGCCACATAACAAAGTTTGGCCAAAATCCACCGACACACCTAGCTCACGCTTCAACCAACGTAGCTGTCGCGGTGTGCGCTCGAATACTCGTGTTAGCAGCCCGGCGACGCTCAGTACTAATGACTCCTTTGTGGATACTGAAATATAAGCTTGTCCGCGGGTCGAGACTCACGCACGCTCCTTCAAGGGAGTGGGACCGGGTGTGGATATCATTGGGCGTAGCGCAAAGGTCGTGCCATGCCTTCACGAGAAGATCGTTGTCGGTATCAGGTATCGGGTTTCAGATGCCATGGCAGCGTGCATATTTTTGACGTTCTGACGTCTGGTCCTTGACGGGCAAGGGCACGCCAATGATGTCCAGGTACCATGAAACGGGACGGAAGCCGTTTCAGCAGATGAGGGCATTCCAAACCAGCAGCGCTCCCAATGTGGCGCGCCAAATATCGGCGAAGGGGGGCTATAGCGGGCGCGTTAAGATGATACCTCCGACACGCATGTTGCGCAAGAGCTTCGGGGTCTTATTCATGGTCAGGCGCTACAAGCCACAACCTGGAGAAAGTGCCAGGAGGTATTGGTAGTCGGCGCAGGCAAGGATTGGCGGGAAGCTGACGTGCGGTGTGAACTTCGAAGAAGCGGGGCTCTCTGCGGTTCGCTCCTAGCGCCGACGCTGCGCAGCACATCTCCCACCGGCTAATTTGTATTTAGCCATGCTCGAATCATGCGGTAGGATTTTCTGACCCTTGCTACGGTCCCCTGCTACGGTGTTCCTGACCCTTGCCACGTCTTGCCCCAGAGCCTGGTTGCCGTAGCCAATGGGTCGTAGCTTTCATACATCCATGAATGCTCGAATTAAACATTGCGTCTTCTGATATTGCTCTCCAGTTGATCTCGCTTCTCGAAGCCCGCGTGGACGCATGGAATCTTCAAGCCACAGATCGTCACACTGACCCTTGGAATCGTCTTTGCAGCTTAGGACATTTCACAATCGGGGTGTACCCTCGGCACCCAAAGCTTTGTCGGAGGCCCACATATGCTCCCCAAGTATCGCATGACCCGTGGTCGTCCCCAGATTTCCGGCAACCGACTCCTTCGTCCTCAAGTACTCCCGCGACGTCACCCGCGTGCACAAACTGCCGTTCCCTCGCAAATCGCTGCTCTCGAATTGAGTCGCCACATTGGAACAAAGTAGTACGTCGGCCGTGTTCGGTGGGGGCCGTCTGATGCTGATCTTATGTAGGGACAACGGCGGCCGGTTGAAGTCATAGTCGTCATCCCAACTCACAGACGCAACCATGGAGACCACAACAGCAGAGACACCCAAGCTTGAACGTCGTGGCTCGGCACCCGTGAAGCGAAGAGTGAGCCGAGCATGCGATCATTGCCATCGAATGAGAACAAGATGCAACGGCCAAGCTCCGTGTTCGCGCTGCATAGAGCTTGAGTACGTCTGCCAGTACAACCGCGAAAAGAAACGACGCGGAAAAGTAAGCACCTCCAACGATCAACAGCCTTGTCCCTCAACGTGAAGCATTCGGTATCGCGTGTACATCGCGCATTTGAAGTGCATCGAGTAGCTAACGAGTCGCAGGTCCCGAGGCACATCCAGAAGCAGCGAGAAGAGGCAGCTGCCAGTGGTAGTCCGCAAACCCCCAATGGAATTTCGAGCTATTACGAAAGGCCCGGCGTAATGGCAGAGATGGACGAAGATGTTTGGTCGCAGTCTGAAGCAACACCAGTTGTACAACATTTCCCAGCCGGCAAAGGTGGTCTGCCTGCAGGTGACTGGCAAGCTCTGAACCCTGGCACGACATTCGATCCACCTGTCAACCACATGATGATCGACCCATTGCTTCTTGGTTCTGGTGCTGCGTACCCGGCAATGCATGCCGAGATGCCTCGCGAAGAGCTGATGTACGCCATGAACGGTACGTACGATGGCCGAGCTCGGAGTGCTTCACAAAACTCCCAGTCTGTGTACATGTCTCGTTTGTCTCGTATGTTACTCGAAACCCTCCCAGCGTATCTGCGATACGTGGTATATTAGCAGCGCCGCTGACAGTCACAGGCATGCACCTTATTCCTGGTCCTAATGGTACACCGGTTTCGATCCCTCCTGAGTACGCCAACATGACGTATCCAATGCAGTACCAAGCAACAGGAAGGCAATCGTCTCCACACAGCTATGGTTCTGTAGACACCGGATCACCGCAGTCTGGAGTGAGCGCGAACTCCTCCCAGAACGGCGCCGCCATCGCCGCTTGCAGATACCCTGTTTTGGGGCCACTACTACCCCACCTTGGACCGATACTCAATGTCACCACCGCATGCGATCTCCTCGAATTTTACTTTCAAAGTTCATCGTCGGTATTCATGGAACCGGTCTCGCCGTACATTCTCGGATCTGTTTTCAGGAAGCGAAGTTTCCTCCGACAACATAAGCCCAGGAAATGCAGCCCTGCTCTGTTATCAAGCATGCTATGGGTCGCTGCCCAGACGAGTGAAGCGAGCTATCTGACATCTTCGCCGTCAGCCAGAGCTATCATCAGCCAAAAGCTGTGGAAGCTCACAGTAGATCTGCTCAAGCCTCTTGTCCACTCTCCATCTTCTCACGGTTTCGCTCCTGGACCTGGCTTGACATCTGCCGCACACGACGCTTTCGGAGTTGACCGAGCTATAGGACGATACGATGGAAGACCCGACGGAGCAATGCCACCCACCAGCACCCTGGATGATGTCGCTACGTACATCAACCTCGGAGTCGTGACGTCCGCGAGCGAATACAAAGCGGCTTCTTTGCGGTGGTGGAACGCGGCATGGTCGCTGGCTCGAGAACTAAAACTAGGGCGAGAACTGCCACAAGGACCCGTGAAAGAGCGAGAGACAGCTGCAACAGAGAAGGAGATTGAGGCGGGTATGCCAGAAGGCGCCAGCGCGCAGGCACCCGTGGGCACACCATCCGCAGCAATCGTGGAAGAGATGAAGGAAGAAAGGCGCCGACTGTGGTGGTTGCTGTACATGGTTGACCGGCACCTTGGCCTCTGCTACAACCGACCGTTGGCGATGCTCGACAACGAATGCGAGGACTTGTTCCAGCCGGTTCCTGACACCCTCTGGCAGGCGGGCGAGTTCTACACTGGCCACCCTGGGTCACGGAAACGGGGACTCAATTTTGAGTGCACATCGTACGTATGCACCGCGGCCGAAAGATGCTCTAGCCGGAGTTTCTTTGGCACACGACGATGAGTCTGAACACGAGGCTAACTTTTACAGGCATGACATTTTCGGTTTCTTCCTGCCCTTAATGACGATTCTCGGAGACATTGTAGATCTGAATGCACAGAAGAACCATCCAAGATTTGGTCAACGGACATCCTGGGAGCTCCACGAGGCAGAAATCACCCGCCAGTTAGAACGGTACGCGTACAGCATCGAGGACTTCAAGGCACAACATGGCTGCGGCTCGAATGAGGAAGCGCAGGCCAACAGCACCCCAGACCCAGTTCGGAGTGAGTGGATGCATCAGACGAGGAAAGTCGCGGCATATGCCACCCACATCATGCACGTGTTGCATATCCTGTTACACGGCAAATGGGATCCGGTGGCACTATTAGAGGACGACAACATGTGGATTTGCTCACAGTCCTTCCTTGCGGCGACTTCCAACGCGATATCCGCTGCACATGCGGTAGAAGTCATACTGGACGTTGATCCGGATCTGTCGTTTATGCCCTACTTGTTCGGCATGTATCTCCTGCAAGGAAGTCTGATCCTGCTCCTTCTAGCGGACAAGCTATCGACCGAGACCAATGACGGGGTTATTCGAGCGTGCGAAACCATTGTCCGGGCACACGAGGCGGCGGTTGTGACTCTCAACACCGAGTATCAGGTAAGCCGCATCACTCCGGTCTCTGGACGTGACAGCGCTAACGAGACACAGAGAAACTTCCGCAAAGTGATGATCTCGACATTAGCGCAAATAAAAGGCCACGGCCACGCCAGAGAGATGACGCCTGCGAAGCGGCGGGAAGTCCTATCCTTGTATCGCTGGACAAGTTTAGGAAATGGATTGGCCATATAAGTGAGCCGCAAATCATTCGAAGCAAGTTTGTGGGATTCGGCGTCTGGAGCGACTCGGACAAGCCTGCGGGCTGGATACCTGGCTGGAGCGTTGTACAACTATAATCTCTTTTTCGACGCGTGGTTATGAAGACACGTAAACAGGCGCATGCGATCAGCTGCATGCAGCTGTGGATGGCGCTTTTTGGGCGATTAGCTGTGCTGCAATCAGGCCAGCGAACTGTAGATATTTTCCAAAGTGCCAATGTACACTCTACAGCTGTTAAGCTGGGGACGCACGTATGTGCCGTGTCACGTTCACATGGCCAGAAGCTTCGGCATCGGCCGAGGCTGAGCTCAACATGCGAGACAAAACGCCGGCTGTGATAGGTACCGCGACTACCGCTCGGGCAGAAAACCTTGGAATGGCAAAGGCGGCGAAACGTTGGTGTGCGATCTAGTTTTTGCGTCCGATATTTCGATCGCCATGGCAAGGATGCTGCGTCGCTAGTCGCTAGGGCAGCTAGGTTCCAGACGCGACCGGGTATTGGAATGGCAGCAAGCAGCCGACCGGTGAGGCTGAGAGATGGTGACTGAAGGCAGGCAAAGGTGGCGCGAGGGAGTGTGTTGCTGTTCTACGATGGTGCATTGGGACTGCAAGGCAGGTGCGATGTTTTCGCGCTAGCACGTGACGATGCAGCTAGGAAGGCGCAAGCTCGGAACCTCCGGTGCAGTCAGCTATGTTGGATTGCCCCACTCAAAACGAGTTCCACGACGAGAACAACCAAAAAAGATATCTATTGTGGTACGGCTGTACATGATAACGGAAGCATCGTAAATGCAGACAGACGCTTTTGCCCCCCAATGTCAACAAGTATGGGCGGAGAAAAGGCAGTGCAACTAACCATGAACGCAAGGAAACACAACTGAAAGCAACTATAACTTCTTCTCCACCTCCATGACTTCCTTGATACCCTCTGCAACTGCATCGACTTTCTCTTGCGGAAGCCTCTTGAGTGGCCGGCGGGGGTATCCGCCGTAGCCGTAATACGACTGGAGTGCTGACTTGGTTCCAGGAATAGCTGCTTTTGTGAGAACCCAATCGCCTTTGCTGAGTACCTTCTGAAGTTCAATGGCTTCGTCGTATTTGCCTTCCGCCCATAGGTTCCAGACCTTGACGCATGTCTTCGGCAGAACGTTCGCACCACCAGCGATGATTCCCGATCCGCCACTAGCAGCAGTCTGAGCTGTGAAGTCGGCCATGCCACCAAAGGCCATGTAGCCACTACCTTCGCTCTTCATTGTGCAGGCGTTGGTAGCAAGGGCGACACGGGTGAGTTTGCCAGTGTTACCGCATGTGAACTTGGTACCAACAATGTTTGGGTGCTTTCCAAGCTTGATGATGAGGTCGCTGTCCATATCGATGCCGGCAACAGCTCCCGGGTAGTTGTATAGAATGATTGGGAGTGGTGAGCCGTCTGCGACTTTGGTAAAGTACTCGTAAATGGCGTCTTCGTCGATGGCATAGCGGTAATAGCTGGGAGGGACAGTAAGAACGTACTCGCCACCTGCCGCCTCTGCTTCTTTGCAGAGCTCAATGGTAAGCTTGATGCCGTGTTCAGAAGCTCCGACAATGACCGGGACGTTTTGGTAGCCAGCCTCATCGAGGGCCTCACGGGTTGCTCGCGTGACAGCGGTCTTCTCAGCCCGTGACAGATGGACAGCCTCTCCGTTGGATCCCATGGTGACGAGACCAACAAGGCCAGCCTCGGCAAGTCGTACTGCGTGCTTCTTGATGGTAGGGATATCTAGCTCCTCGGTCTCGGGGTCAAAGAACGTCATGGTGGGCGAGTAAATGCCTGGCCGAAGAGGAGTACGCTCTTTGGAGTGGCCATTGGCCCCGTTTCCGTTTGATGTCATCTTTGCGGTATGTATGATCAAGAAGAGTTGAGACTGGAAAAGAACAACGTGAGTAATATACGAGTAGGGAAGTTTCGGGGGAGAGGAAGGGGCGAACAATAAAGATGATGCACACACGGGTTCGGTCAGCTTTAATATAGCAGCGAGATGGAGGTAATCGGCGCAAAGTAAGTCAGAGGAGCTAAGTTCGGCAGAGCTCACTTCTCATCCCACATGGACTGGCGTGTCTCAGTGGCTCTACCGTTCAAGATCTCGTCAAATGGTCGAGTTTGATTCGCCAAGGACCGCAACGGCGAGGGCTAGACTGGAGGTTGGGTGCAGGGCTGTGGGCCATCTGGCGAGTTCGGGACACCACTGGGCGAAATGCGGGACATTCTGCGGCCTTTTCTATGAGAGTGACTAAAGTCGGCGGTTGTCTGATGGGATAGAGCTGCACCTGGGGCAGGGTTAGCTGTCGAACATAGTGGCACAGCACGGCTGTCGTTGACGGGGTGGCATTCTTCCACCAATAGCAGGTGGGCACGCGCGTGGGGGAAGCCAGCGTCGCTCTTTCCTTGGCCTCTGGGGAACCTCGTTACCCCTCGGAACGCAACAAACGCCAACCACCACGCGTGCCCCAAGGAATTGCTCCAAGACAATTCCGCCATGTCGAGACGAGCTTTGCTGCTTCCTCGACGGCTTGGAGACGCCACGGCCATCGGAAACAGATGTAAAGCGCGCGCTGAGCAAGACACAGCCCCCACCATGACCAAGGCCTCGAATGATGCAACGTCATCCGGCCGCGGCTGCCGGCAGCACGCGTGAGGCCTCGTGCCCCTCATCGCGTTGCTGGGTCATATATCTTCCGTCGCTATCGATAAGTGGTCAAAGGCCGACGAAGCTGTGTCGGGTATTGAAGCAGCGCATCCCCTTCAATTCCAGCTCTTGTCTCGTCTCATCTTGCTCGAGATCAGGACAGTAGCTGCCAATCCTCTCTATCATCTGGACCTTTTCTCAGACCTGCAAAACTACAGTCAACATGGCGCCAGTAGAAGTACTCATGGTACGCTGCCCCTCACCACAGTCTAGCCGCAGCTCTGTGGCTCACTCACATCTGCGGCGCGTCGCATGTCAATGCTAATTGCACGCCAGGTCGGTACTGGAGAGTACACGACAGGATTCGTCGGAGGAGGCGCCTCCAAGTCGGACAAGAAGGTCGGTGTCGTAGGCCTGACGCTGTTCGACCTCCGAAGACGCGGCAAAGTGGGCAAGCTGTCCATGGTGGGCACATCGGGCGGCAAATTCCCCGCAATCCGTGAGTCGCACAGCATCTGGACGGTTTCACCATGTCCGGCATGCTGATATTTTGCCAGGCGAGCATCTCCAGAAGAACATTTCCGAGGCATACAACAGCTTGGACGTGTCATTTGAGGAGTTCCCAAAGGAAGGCAAAACCGATCCGAATGCGTACAAGACAGCGATTGACGCGCTTCCAAAGGGCAGTGCCAGTGAGTTGCAATATATACCCGCTCAATTGCCTCCTCCCATTGACGTTGCATAGTCACCATCTTCACACCTGACACCACTCACTACCCGATCGCCCTGTACGCCATCGAACGCGGAATCCACGTCCTTATCACGAAGCCCGCGGTGAAGCTTCTGGAACATCACCAGGCGCTTTTGGCAGCTGCGAAGAAACACAATGTCTTCGTTTACATTGAGCACCACAAGCGATATGATCCTGCGTATGCTGATGCGCGTTTCCGGGCGCAGAAGCTGGGCGATTTCAACTACTTCTACTCCTACATGAGCCAGCCAAAGTACATTTAACCCCTACTGAATCGAAGACTCTAATTGCTAATACTTCGATCAGGAGCCAACTGGAGACGTTCAAGGCCTGGGCGGGTATCGATTCTGATATCTCCTACTACCTCAATTCTCACCACATCGACATCAACGAGTCCATGATCCCCGATTGGAAGCCAGTACGCGTCATGGCTAGTGCTGCAAAAGGCATTGCAACAGAACTGGGCTGCGATCCTGCTACCGAGGATACCATCACACTGCTCACCAACTGGGTGAAGAAGGATGACCCTAGCAAGGTCGGAACAGGTGTTTACACAGCTGGCTGGGCAGCGCCTCAGAAAGCCGGTGTGCACTCGAATCAGTACTTCCACTACATGGCATCTACAGGAGAAATCCGCGTCAATCAGGCCAAGCGCGGTTACGACGTTACTGACGACGAGGGTGGTCTCCTCTGGTACAACCCGTGAGTTCAAACATCGCAAAGTCATCCCTTTGCGTACTAACCACTGTCAGATTTTACATGAAGTACGCTCCCGATGAGGAGGGCAACTTCGCAGGCCAGATCGGCTACGGATACATTTCTTTTGAGAAGTTCGTTGATGCCGTCAACAAGCTCAACGCAGGTGAGGTCACACTCGAACAGCTAGACGCGCGGCCACTCCCAACCCTGAAAAACACTATCGCGACGACAGCAATTCTCGAGGCAGGTAGGAGATCGCTCGATGAAAACCGGCCGATTGACATCATTGAGGAAAATGGTGTCTGGTCTTTGAAGTAGTCAAGTCGAGCAATCAAAAGCGAACGTGACACCGCTCAGTGGGGCGCGCCTACCATGTACCTTTTCGTCAGAGTCTCGCTCTAACAAGCGTTGTATACCTTTAGCCTAAGTCGCACAAGTACTGTTTACTCATCATCCATTGATCCTAGCATGACCTGATCGTCGCCTCCGCTATGGCGCGGTCCCACGTGGTACTGACACGCCGTCAACAGGCTCCACCCCCATAACGCGAGGACAGACCCGTAGACAAGGTAAAACAGTCTCCACAGGGTGGCGTATGCACAAAACAAGGGCATTTTGAAAAGCGGGAGATGCTCGGGTGCTCTAGTCAGTTTCTGTGACGGGCTCGGGCGAACGTCCACCGAACGAAAAAGGCTAGGGTGATCCCGAGACCGAGACCGATACACCCACTCCGACTCCGACACTTTGTCTCCTGGGAACTGACTCCCCTTCCTTAGTGTAGCACAGGCCGACGGCTGGTAATCCTAGCTCAGATCCACGGAGGGCTTTTCATAGCTGTTTCGAACTTTAATCCAACGTCGAAAATGTGATCCTTAATCCAACGTCGTGGGTGCTAGCTGCCTTAGATGTCATGGCTGTCCTTTCTCCATGTACTAACTACGCAGAAAGCATGTAGCAGAACTATTTAACTAATCCTTGCTTTGCATAAGGCTCTTAACTAATTTTAGATTAATCTATATTTAGCTAATCTATCTTTAGTGTATCCTTCTACTAAACATAGATCTAACTTATGCCTCTATATTATATTTATCTACTAAGGTGTTCTTATTACTAGCTTATAAGACAAGCCTAAGAGCTAGAACCTTAAAGAGTTTATCTCTAATAAACGCAATAGCAGCAGTAATTTTAACGTTGTTATTATAGTTATAATTATAGATAGTAAGAATTTATTTTTATTACTTAAAGGTAACAGCAAGAGCTTTTTTATATACTTAGTAATAGTATATTTAGCCTTTTGCGAAATAGAGATAGGTATTCTTTTACTATAAGAGAAGAGTCTAAGAACTAAGTGCTTTATAGAAGTTGCAAATAGCAGGTGTCTATGCTTATTAGTACTGTCTCTCTATACTAAATTACACTTACTATAGTAGTAGGTATAGTAGCTAGTATTACAATTATTAATTTTAGAGATTTAAAGTAATTATAGTATTAGTAGCTAGGTTAAAAAAGGCTAGTAGATTTTTTTTAAGATTAGCTACTACTTAATGTAGGCCTACTAATAAGTAGGGCGGCTAATAGGATAGCTAGAAATAGGCTTTGAACGTTAATGTAAGAAAAGGCTAGTTAAGAGCTACTTCATCGCCATGTATTATTATTATGTTTGTACACACTCAGTCACTCATTGACGGTTTGTCACTCACCCATTCTTTGTTTAGTGATCAAGGGGTCGTACAGCCACAAAGCTGATGACATCACAACAATACCAACAAAAGCCGTTCAGACAAAGGCTATATGCTCTCCAGCATATTCAAAGCCTTCTGATGTATGCCTCACGACCGTGGCTTTGGCGTTATGCCTCAAGCTCACCTCTGTCGTTGAAGAGGGAAAGAAGGACTTCGCGATGGTGGACCAACGCAGACACCTTTTCCAAAAGATCCAGAGCTCATCTGAAGCGCTCGTAGTAAGCGGACAAGACATACTGAATGATTTTCTAAGTACGAAAGGTCTCTCCCATATCGATCTGGACGAGTCCATATCGACCGAGCGCATTCGCACACGACATGCGCACACCACTCGGTTCGGCGCTCTTTTAACGGAAGATCGCGACGATAAGATAGATGAGGCATGGGAAAGTGCCCGCACAGTTCCTTATTTACGCCGGCGATGGTCTGTCGACTTGTACCAAACGCCGGATCAGCGATACCCTCAATTGAGCAACGACGATGGCGGAGCGGTAGAAGATGCCGTGGAAAGAGATCTTGTGCTTCAAAGGCATAAGCTTAGTACCAGTGAGCTAGACCGCGACAAGCACATGGTATACCTCGAGACGGAAAGGGCTCAGCTTCGCAACGAACACTTCGGCGAAATTGATCACATCGGAGTCTGGTTCTATGATGAAGTTCTGGACATTGGCCTCGATGCCATCTACCGTATACTTGGTTGCGAATATCACGACATCGCCATTCTCGGTACGCCTTTCGCTGCGGAATTGTACACGATTGGCCGCGACGAGACCGCGACTTTAGAAGCCGGGGGTGCGCTGCAGAAGACGATAGGAACAAACAAGTTCGTCATAATTCCCGTGAGTAATGGCTGGAAAAGGATACACGCTGGAGATCGTAGCAGCCATTTGCTCGGCACACATTGGACCTTGGTGATCATCGACTGTCACCAGCCGGTCATCCATGCACGACACTATGACTCCGATGGTATGTCCACCAATTTTGAAGCGGCCATGGTACTACTTCGTGGCTTCAGCAGAATCTATGCGAATACAAGACCAGACTACAAGATCGATCAAAAGACGCTTGGCACTAATCTGCACCGAGAAATGCGCTGCCCAAACCAAAAGCTCCACAACCGGTGCTACGCTGATGGTGGCGGCGCCTGTGGGCCTTTTGTATGGGCTTTCGCGAAAGATATGGCACAGTATATCATCGAATGTCATGAAGACGCTCACCGTCTGGGCCGACATGTTGACATTGATATCACCTTACCCACTGGCTTTGCGCAACGTTGGTGTTGGGATTCGGGGGCGACGCGGAAACGGATAAAGAACCTGCTTGAACTAGAACGGAGGTCGAGGGTTTGGCTCAATGGTACGCATGACTGGTGGAAAACAGATGGGCAGCCCGGGTGGAAAGATTGGCTGACGGCCAGGAGGGAAAGGATAACTGCGGATTATTTCTGGGATCCGTGGCATGGCCTTCAAAATTAAGATCCTAAGCAATCGTCATAGTTTGACAGCTTATGGAGTTTGTAAAGTTTACATCATACTGTTCTCCACTTCCCCAATCACCAAGTAGTAGCCAAGTCAGGGCTGGTCCCTCAAGAGATCCCGCTATGTTTCGTGAGCGTCCCTCTTGGCACTACAAATTCGAGAGATATTGAAAAGGTGACAAGGTTATGAGCCTACTATACCCGGCCGCCTGAACTGAGGCGCCAGCTCACTCTCCAGCCCCCATGGATCCCAAAAGGTCATCTCGTTCAATCCCTTTCCTTTCAGCCAAGATCTCCAACCTGCTGTACCGTCCCCCGGCGTGGAAATCCTCTGCCCCACACTATCCATCCATTCCGGAGTACGATTCAGCCACTCCCGGGTTCTCAGCTCTCTCAACGCAAGATTCCATATCGCCCTACGCGTCTTCGCCGAGTCCCAGTTTCTGCGTCGCTGATAACAGTCTGGTAAACAAGGGTCAACTTGACCAACATTAGGGAAGTTGGGGTCTTCACGACAGTCGGCAATGTATTGCGTGATTTCCTTACTCATTTCCCACACGAAAGGGCCACAGGCACCCAGGCCGTCTTCTTCGCCGCTGGCATTCTCATGGCCTTGGTTAGGGCAGTGTGTGTCAATGTCAAACACAAATTCTTCCTCGTTGAAACGTCCCGGCTGGACATGGTTGAGCATCGTTCGTACGCCAGTCAAGATCATCAGGGCTGCTTTGCAAATGTTCGAGTCGTACATTGCGTAGTGTTGTAAAAGGCCAGCGGATTCGTAGTAGCTGGAGTCAAAGTAGCGGCCTTTGATGGTCGAAGAGCGACAGTCGACGAGCAGAAGAGACCAGTGGTTGCCTGCGGTCTGTTCAGAAAGCGTAGATTCTGTGTTAAGGTTCGTCTTGGCCGCTTCATACTGACGTTCACGTTCCATGCCTGTCTCGTAAACGTCTTCGTACGCGTTGCTGATCGGTACCAAGATGAAGTCTTTGTCCCTGCATTTCTCAATCAGCAGTCTATCGAACCATACTGCCTCCTGATCTTGAAGTTCCTGCGCTTTCCTCATACTGGTGTAGAGCTCGGATCCCTGACTAATACGACAGATTGCGATCCCGTGTTTTTGGCAGTTGGCAGCTCGCTCCAGTATATCCAGAGATGTGTCTATGTGGCTGTCGTGAAACCAACCGTCGTCAGGGCCGAGAGTGAGAAAGTGGAGGAACTGAGATTCATCGATCGATGCGTTTGCCGTTTCGAGGACAGTATGATTGGGCTTTGCGGAGAGAGTGTAGTCGCGATCAAAGACGTCTAGCCGCTGAATACTCGTGTAGGTATCCCAACTAAAGGCTTCTGCTTCCCTGAACGCATCAGTGTCTTCGAAGACACTATCATACTTGCGCGCTTCGTGATGCCCATCACTCTTGGTTGACGACTGACCTCCTCCCCCGGAATAGGCCGAGCAATCAACCGACCAGCGGCGAGGATAGTTTGATCTGATCTCAGATTTGCGGAGTGTCCGGTTGTTGGTAACAGCTTCAAGAATTCGAGCGCAGTTGTCGATTGGGATGGCATGAGAGATAAGATTGTCGGTACCTCTGCTGCTGACACGATCAACCCCGGTAGTAATGTAAGATGCTGCCTTGAAACGAGGAACACTTGTAAGGTCGAGAGCGTCGATGGAGGTCGTCGACAATATTTGGGAGGATCCTATAGGCGGGAGACCATTCCGGGCAAGTGCTTCGTGGACACCTTTTAGCGATTGGTGGCTAGCTTCCGTACTCATGGTGCGTGGTCTTGCGAGTCGTGAATGGCCAACGAGCGATGTGAATTCCAGTGCATTCGAACTTGAGGTTGGCTTCTCATGTGCAAGATGCATACGAAAAGTCATCAGATGATGTAGCTTGCCCTTGGCATTTCGAATGCAGGCAGAAGCTAGAGAGACATGAACACAATGGGGCACTGACAAAGCGTGAGATAAAGGATGCAGGTCGTGAAAGACAGGCAGACGGGACCAAGAGAGTGATACAAAGAACAATGATCCAGGCATCAGACACCTCACACAAGCAGAAAATAGAGGAAGAGCTTCGTTAATGTTGATACGCAAATCGATCGCTAGACGCTCATCAGCATCGCTCACTAGATGCTCCTTGATAACTATCACCAATGCAGACCCGAGAAGAAAGTAGAGCGACAGCAAGGAGAGCATGCACGTGCAATCTCCATCAACGAAATTAGTTCCCTGCCTCACAGCACCATGTAATGGTGCTTAAGCTTATTCTTTCTTGTCTGCGATCACAGCTTAACCAGCCTTTCCGGCCTCATCCAGCCTTGTCAGCATGCCCTGGACCTCCTTGACGAGAGCCTTGCGCTTGAGCCTAGCTTCTGGATCACCTTCCGTCTCGACACCATCTAGCTTGAAGATGATCTGGGTCAAGATAGTCTCACTCAGCTTCTTGTATTCGAATGTCCTCTTCGCCTTATCTTCTGGCGGGCTGGCCATGAATTGCACACACATGGGTACGAATTCGGTGTGGAACTTGCTGGCGATGGCATCGAGTTTGCCGATTGGGGTTTGGGGCTCGGCGGGTTTGGCCGGGGGAGGAGTGGGACTCGGGCGCGGTGCCGCGCTGATATGCGAGGGGATAGGGAGGTATTCTGCGCCGGCCCCGCCAGTTGTGTAGCCGGGTGTTGAGGTGCCAGAGGCGTTTGCCGAAGAAGGACCCTTCTTCTTGCTCTTCCTGCCGCCGCGCTTGCGCGACTTCTTCTTGCCTGTGGTATTCGCGCCAGAGTCGACGTCATCTTCGTCGTCATCGTCGTCCTCTCCCTCGCTGTATGCGTGCTGTGGTGCGTCTTCTGATCCGGGTGCTAGGCCACTGACTGGGGTTTCGCCTACGGTGACCAGAATCTCACTACCGGTTCCGTCACCACGGAGGCCTTCCTCCCGTCCAGTCCGCTCGTCGTGCTTCAGATTCCTGCCCTTGTAGAACATGCGTATCCGCCTGTGGTCATCGACGCCCAGCTTCTTTGCTGCCGCTTGTCGAACTGTACCAATCTTCAGATCTCCATCGCGTATGCTGTGCGCGGGGAAGTGTGTAGGGTAATGTGTGCGCCCGTTCTTGAAGATGAGAACGTCTGTCTCCCGTTCTGGGTTCTTGTCATCCCAGTCGACGATTTCGGGCGCTTGCGCCTGACCATTTCGTCGTAGGTCTTCGTTGGTGATGTATGAAAAGTCAGAGTCGTTGACGACGCCGGCGTTGGGCGAGTTGCCTGGACGGCCAAATGGCGAGAAGCGTCCTCCCCAGTTTCCGCCGGTGCGCGAGAACCAGGACATGGTGACGATGACAGAGGCTAGTGCGATAGCAAGGGTGGTAAGGTAGGTAGGGTCGTCGAGGCGAGGGTTCGTGAGGAACTCGGCGACGTCGTGGAAGCTGCGGTGCTGTAGGGCGCGCAACAGTTTCGATAGCGCGTTCGTGTGTTGGTTTTCAGTGTCGCCTGACGAAGAAGTTGTCGTGGAGCTTAGTAGAGATCGAGAGTCGCGGAAGTTGAAGGATTTCTTCAATTCGTCGACCAGGTTACTTAGCGACGCCACGGTGGTGGTGTGAGACTCGCCCTGCCAGTGTAGCAGGCCGTAAGCAGTCCGCGTATGCGAATGACGTAGTAAGCTGCCAGAAAAAGCCCTTGGTTGTGTAGTGGGGGGCGGCTGTAGGCGGTGTGAATCAATGTTGATCGGCCAAAAGTATGAGCGACTGGTACGGAAGCTCCGACCGCCCAGTGCCGCATCGACCCACTTGACTGCACATGTCTCCCACCTACGAATAGTCACTGAACAGTAGGCTTCGCTGCATCCACACTATCATATCTTAGTAAGTCAATAATATCTAAGATCACGTATACTTTTAGCTTGATGGAATACTTAACATTTCTTTACAACACGACACATATTGTTGGAGCCCCTGCTGACGCAGTACACAACTCACTCATCACTCGTTGGAAATTTGGTGGTCATGCAATCGTTGATTCAGTATAATACACAAGCTAAGCTTGGTCATGTGTACCGTTCTCGTAATGATCAGTGTCCATCGGACATGTAAGATCCAGAAACAAAAGGAAAGATTTTGAGGGTTATGCCTGGAGAACCGTTACGCCCCGATGCCAATTATGACGTGAGAAAGAACAAAGATTTGACAAGAAGGAAGTATCGTAAGTCATGAGGCGATGCACAAGCATCGTGACAAGTACGCCAGCAAATGACTGGAGAGTAAACTGGGACAAATGCCCGTCGAATCATGGATGATGCATGTTCGCTACAGCTTGTGACGAACACACCTCAACAGCATCACAGTCTCCGACGAAAACGAGCAAGCTTACGCCCTGCTTCGTTTAGGCGTAGCAAGGAAGGCGAGCCTTGACTTGCTGATAGCACCCGCACGTCCTGGGGTGTGGCGAGCTGTCTTGCTTGCGCTGGCAGGGGCCTTTGGAGCGGGTGCAGGTGTCCGCTTCATCTTCTTGTTGGAGCGCGTGTCGTCGTCATTAGGACCATCGTTCTCCTTGTCGGATGTCTCCTGGAGGGTCTCCAGCTTGCGCTTGGTGCCGTCGACAAGAGAAGATGCATCGCTCGGACGTACCATGCGGATCGTGCCAGTCGATACAGGGCCTGAAAAAGTTAATGAGTTTTCAGTAATGAGAGGCAAGACAACGTACCAAAGTTGACAGTGTTGCCGGACTCGAAGGAAAAGGAACGTGGATGATTAGGAGCCTCGCCACCGAATGTGAGGCGACGAGATGGAGAAGCGGTCAGAGTTTCAATCTCTTGAGAAAGATCTGGGCCATTGTGTGCTCCTGAGCCGAGACTAGGATAGATCACAGCACCAGCAGGCACTTCACTGCCTGCCCTGAACTTCATCGGGGACGGTGATTTGCCCAGCTCGTCGTGCGACGCGCGCTCCAAAGTACTACTGCTGAAGTTGACTTGCTTCTTCACAGGAGCTGTAGCAGGAACCAGGGACGGTGCTTTGTCGAGGCTCATGGTCGGAGGTGACATGTGAGTGCCTGCCGCGACTTTGCTAGGATCGTCCGAGAATTTGCGGTTTGGCGTGCGAAGAATTGACCGGACGCGCTGCAAGTTGCTGCTTGCCTGCTGATGTTAGTGGATACTTGGAAAAGCGCCCATAGATAGACATACCTTGCGCATGCTCTCGCGTGCATTGTCCCTCAAAGTCTGCAGATGGCCAATGTTGCTAGGAGGAGAGAAGGTATTACGGGCAGAGGACGACTCGAAGCTACGATTGACAGATGGCGAAGCTCCCAGGTTGTTCGTGGAAGGCGACTTTCCTAGAGTTGGAATCATCGACGTCGTCTTCAGAGTCTTGACGCTCTGGGAACGCGCGATAGACGACTTCGTAGGCGTCATCAATCGCGCAGCTAGACGAGGAAGTGCAGTTTGAGATGTCTTCTTGCGGGCCGGAGTAGCAGCTGCGCGGGCTGGGACATCGGGCACCTTTTCGCGAGAAGCAGGGCGGGTGGTGGCAGCATCGTCAGATTCGGTGCGCTTGACACGCTTAGCTACCGCGTTACGGTCGCCGTCGCCGTCGCGGGAGGCCGGTCGTCCATCGCGTGCAGGAGGAGCCATGCGAGCTGATGGCTGGGAGCGTGGCAGAGCAGATCCGGTGAGGTCCATCTTGGATTGAGTGCGCTTCAACGGGGTTGGGGGAATCTTGCTTCCAGATCCTGCGAGGTCCATCTTCGACTGTGTGCGCTTTAGACCACCAGCGGCACTCGAGCTCGGCTCCGCCAGATCCGCTTTCGACTGTGTACGCTTGAGTTTGTTTGTCTCCGGGTTCGCGAGCTCTGGTTTCGAGGGCGACTTCTTGAGCGACTGGCCTACGACGGGCTTGAATCGTGTCGGGTCGGCGCGGAAAGCTGACGGATGGTTCGCGATGGAGTCCATATTCTTGAACTGCTTCATATGTACGTCGCTGAAGCGAGCCATCTTGCCCTTGGCTTCGGCCATCTTGCGCTGGGGAGACACGTCGACCTTGGAGGACCACTCGCTCGCGCCTATATGAAAATAGAGATTAGAAAAAGCAAAACAGGTTGAGTTGACTATCACTTTAACGTACCGAACAGAGCACGGCTACCACCACCCGGAGTGCCTGCGATCCCAGCGTCTTTCAGGATGTTGCGCGAGCTTGGGCTCAGCGTGGCTTCGTCTTGTTTCGAGAAAGGCGACTTGAAGCGGAAGCGGAAGTCAGGCGATGACCCAACATTGGCCATCGAAGAGGCAGCTACAGGAGTCTTCGAGGGCGTTGCCTGACCCGCCAGGCCGGTCGCTTTGGAAGGCGCGGTACCCAGTGACTGGAAACCGAGCCAGCGCGCCTCATCTAGGATCTTGGCTGTGCTCGCGTGGTGATGCGCTGGATGCATCTCCTGTCCTGCCGGCTTGATCGGAGTGCGATCTTTGGGTGTTTGGCTCTTGGCGTCATCAATGAGCGACTTGGTTGATTTGCTCTTATGAGGTGTGGGTGTCGCGGCCGCTTGCGGTAACTTGGACTGGGCCTTGGGACCTGCAGAGGCGTTCGAGGGCGTCTTCCGCGCCATACCAGGCTCTGGCAATTCTGGAAGGTCTGGAAGGCCCAAGTTGGGCGACGAGGCAGTGTGCCAACTATCTTCGGAGGGCGTAGTCTCGCGCTACAACAGACGCATCAGTAAATGTAAACAAACGTTAGAAAAGCAAAGTGCGCGTACCTTGAGCAGACGAGCTGATCGACGCGCCATCTTGTCAAGAAATGTTCAAGAAGGATCAGCTACTAGGTTGCAACACGAAGGGAGCGGAGATTGGGACTGGCCTGTGGGTGGGGAGGGACGGGGAAGATATCGGCTAGAGCATGGATAAACAAAGCGCACGGGCCTTAACGTCCCGAACAGGAAACGACGTCATGAGCAACCACGAGATGTGAGGGCACGTGGGAGACTGCAGACTACATTGAGATATAAACATGGGAAGTGGGTAAGCTAGCCTTAATGTAGGCTCTAGGATGTTCAGGTTTCTCCAGGGCTCCTAGGTTGAGGTGCCGCAGTGAGGCACAACTGGCGCACAGCGCACAAGACAGAGCTTCGTTGTTTCGCGATGGAATGTTTTCCACATTAATGTCAAAATCGCCCTGCACTGACCTCGCGCATGTTCTACCGGATGCTGCCACAGCTCACCAACCCTTCTGCGTTTCCTTCCCAAGCAGTGCGCCAGGCGGTTTCGCCAAGCCAGCCTCAACACTTCTCTCCACTTCGTTCCTCAGCCCCTCAATTCTCTTCTCCTCATCTTGGATCTGTCCCTTCGTTTGTTCCTCACTTTTCCATACAAAGTTACCAGCGCCACCTCTTCCACTCCTCGCAACAGGAAGTTCCTGGCCTTCTGGATGCCATGGTTTGCTAATCTGTGGCTTCGACGATGTGGGAATAGCAGTTGCGTCAGCAGCCTGCGTGAAGGTGCCCTCTTTCTGAAGTTCAGTGGGCTGGTACCAGTTGCCGGCACCACCACGACCCATGTGTGCGTAGTCTTGCGACGCATTGGAGGGCTGCACTTGTGGAGGGTCGCGTGAAGGTTGCGCAGCGGCAGTGGTGGAAGAGCGGTTGGCTTCGACGTCCTGTGTTGACGGTGAGCATACCTAAGAACATAGAGGATTGAGAATGCGTGATCATTATCGACTCACTTCGGCAACCTTCTTACTTTGCTCCTGCGCCGCGTAGTAATTGCCTGCACCGCCGCGTCCGTAGGCCATCGTGATCGGATGCTCCCAGTATTGGCGTATAGCCTCGATTTGGAGTTTGCTGTATTGAGCGTAGGTGCGCAGAAGCTGTCAATGGTAAACCAGAGAGATGATAAACCTGGAAGATGGATGGAGAGGTTGGGCGTTGCTACATGCGCATGTGGTACGCGGCTCCGAGTGGGTCATGCGAACCCATATCAATCCGCGCCCAATGTTCTGGATTGATAGGAACGTGGGGAACGGCTTGTCTAAACGACGATCTACTAGATTCAGTGTGGGGTCGGAATTGGTCATAAGCTTGGCAAATTGATAACGCGGGCTGCCAAGCAGATGCCACCGTCTTGAAAGACGACTTGGGTATGATATTCTTCTACACATGCTTCAAGGTCTGCATATTAGTTGCGCGACGACTGCTCAAATGTCAGTCAATCACATACATGTCATGTAATCCTCGAGTTGAAACTTTGAATAATCGTGATATTCGCACACTGCTACTAACAAGTGGAAAGCTGAACATGCTACCGGAGGGCCTATTCCATAACGGCAGCCGTGAAAGAACATAAAAAGA